TTTTCTAAATTTTATGTCAGTCTGTTACAGCAAGAATTATGCTTTTGAAACAGAGTTTGCTTGCCTTCAAAATTCTTGCTTAAACAATGACTCCATACACACCTACCTCAACCATAGGCCTACTTAATGCAATTTTCATTATCATCCATATTGAAATTATCATAATAGCTCAACAAATTTTTAAAAATTATTTTAATTAAAATTTGGGCACTTTTATTCATTATTAATAAAGGAGTTCTGATTTGGCTCATTGGTTGTTTTTGTTTAGTAATATATCAACCTCTATTTGTTGTTTTGATGATGTTCTTACTGAATGAAATGACAACAATAAATTTAAACATCCAACTTGTTTTCACATATTCTACATCAGCCAGTTTATAATGTATACTTATTTTATCTGTATGTATAAGTTTTCCTAATCAGTTATGAGTCCATATTTGTAAAGGGGCACATTAGGATAAGAATGTACTTATTTTTTGTTTTGTTTAGCACTTCAATCATTGTTTGCTATAATCATTTCCAGTGTAACTTCTCAGCCTTTATGTTCATCTTTATACATGAAAAACTAAAATTATATCACTAGATGTTGCAAATCACCCCCACAAGTATTTCTTAAGAATATTTGGTAAAGTTCAACTTTAGGTTTGCAAAGGAAAACCTGTGTCAAAAGAACAGTTACTCCTTTTATACTGCTATTATTGTATACATTTGTCAATGTTTATTTACAAGATTATAAAAATGTGAATTACATTATCAATACAATGTTTATTATTTAACTTTTATAAAGATTTATTATTTATCCATTTATGAAGAAATAAATTTGAAAAATATTTTTTAAAAATTACAAAAATACATAAACAATGCAATATTTATTATTTACCATTTTATAAATAACTATGAAAAGTTTTTTTTATTCATAATTTTATAAAAAAATCACTGAATCATAGAAGAAGAATATTTGAATAAACATGATTTTCTGGATGTAATACCTTTTCTTGGAATATATCTAGTTTTAATTTTCTAATTTATTTAATAATTGTGATCTATTATCAAGGATGACTAATCAATAGAAATTCAATTCCTGAAACTCCAGTAATTATAGGTTAACCTCCTTCTTGTTCCTTTTTTTTTTTTCATAAAGTATAATTTTGAAAAAGTTTTAAGTTGTTGCTAATTCAAAAAAAAATAAAAATACAAACAGATTAAATGATTAAATAAGTAATTTAATAGTGTTTAACATGTTTGTTGTCACTTCTCAAGAATAAAAAAAAATGTATCAATCCACTTTCATGTGTTTGGGTTTTATTAAAATTCTAATCATCACTTTTTAAAACAAACATTGTCAAAAGTGTGTACAGTAATAGCAGTGTCAAGGAAATAACTGTCATTTTGACACACCGTTTTTTGTAGACAAAGGTTAAACATTGCTAAATATTTAATTAAATTAGGTCAGATCTTCTTACTTTATGACATAATTTATCAGTTACTCCATTAATACATTTACCATTATGGCTCTTGTTTGTTGGCTTACTCTTGCAAATTCTGGACACTGTTCAAAACATTAGAATTTGAGTTCAAAAATATTTTAATTCATTTCTCTTCCAGCATAAATACAAGAGTGGTTGCTGAAAAGTTCCTACTTCCCAAAATTAGTAGTCTGATGTTTGGTTATCAAAATACTGATTTTGGGAAGTGGCTTGAATCAAGAACTTTTCAGTATCTGCATCACAATAAATTTCACATTGTTATTTCTATTAATAATCAAAATGCCCAAATTTGAATTAAAATTATAATCCTTATTTGAAGAAAAGTTGATTGAACAGACATTAATACTTATTACAAGTATTAATGTCTTCATTTTTCATTTAATTGAATTTTCTGTTTTAACCAGTAAAATGACAGAATATTAAAAGCCTACAGTTCCAAACTGGTAAAGCTTCGTTTCTCACTTCTTTTAAATGAATGCAAAACTTGGCTAAACACAGCAATTCAAACACATATACAGGGATCCCTCAATTAGCGTGACTAATTTGTACATTAAAAGATACACATTAATTGAATATAAACAAAATTGACTAACAAAATAGATACCAATTTTTAAATTTTAGAAAATTTTTAATTAATTAGGAGCTATAAAAAAATCAATTTTCAATTACTATGGTTAAACTGAAGAATGTTTTACTACACTAATTGAGTATTATGCATGCACTAATCGAATTTTAGTATAAAAAAATTCATTCAATTAATTAATTGAATATGCATTAATCAAGGAATTCCTGTATAGTGCATGATAATCCAGTTGGATAAAAGAAGACAGGTTTTCAGTTACCAAACACTCCATTACCAACAATGATATCAGAAAAATGTCTTCTCTGTCAGTCCTTCATGACCAGAATATGGCTTGTTGCTACAACTGAAATGTATTACCCACTATGGTCTCTGCCACTGATTGGTCATTCTTTTTTTTTTTCCATCTTCTGCTTTGTACACTTTTATATACCATCTTTTCAGACTGTCATTTGGCTGTTATCAGTAACATGGCACCAAACAAAAAACTGCTGGGAGGGAGGTATTGGCAGTCTTCTTTAATTTCTGCTATACCACCAATATCTACTTCAGTTGTGTTCTAATATTCAGTTGCATCACAAAACTAACAAGTTTCATAGAAAAAGTCAAAGTATCAATTTATTTTTCATTGTAATTCTTGCGGGTAAGGAAGTGGAGTAGCAAGCTCTATATTTGATAACATTTTTGTCAGGAAAGTCATTTCAAACAAACAAACAAAATCGGCTCCAAGAAACTGATAGTCACTGAGCCTAAAAAAATGAGTACTAATTTACTTTGGTTTTGCAGACAATTTTTTTTTTTTGTGGACAGGGGTGTCAGAAAACTAATTACTTTTGTAAGAGAATAAGTTATATTTTTCAATTTGTATCTAGGATTCATGTGCTTCAGATAAATCCATTTCAAGTCGAACTAAAACTCGAAGTAAAATTAAATAGTTATTCAAAAATTAATTTAAGTTGATTTAATGTACTGAAGATAATATAAAGGCATAGTGAAAATTTTTCATATGACACGATTTATTCTTTAGGACTTCATCGGACTAAAGTGAGGTTTTCATTGATGTAACTACACATGCACATGAAGAGGAGGAGATGCTGACATTTAACCTTTTAAATTTTTTTTGTGTGTTTGAGTATAAAGTCTAGCCAATTTAATTTAGTTTCTTTATATCATTTTTGTTATTAAGTATCTCACATTGTGATAATAGATCTGCCAAGATGAAATGTAAGAACCTGAATGCAAATTTACTATGAATGATCTAGCAATTAAAACACTTTCTATACACTCATCTTAGTAAATTGTTTTCTCTTTTAATCAAAGTATCTTTTTAAATTGAAATTAGGGTTAAACTCATTACAATAAGCAACTAATGCATTGAGTGTGTTGTTTTGTAAAAAAATTCCCTGTTGTGTTCATATAATTTTATTTAAATTCAAGGTTTCTCTTATGTATTCCTTGTAGCAATTATTACAGGTGATATGATAAATTCCAAGTCTTAGCTTATTTTGTTTGGTATTAAGTCTTTTAGTGCTTTAAAAGTAATTGTAACAAATTATATGTTAAGCTTTGATAAATTATTTTCAATTGTAGTTATGATAGAGTTGGTAGGTAGAATATATTTTGATTTGTTGGGTTTGTCAAAATACTTGTCTTCTATTTTTAAATATTTTACAAGCCTTTTGTTTCAAGTTAAGTATGAAATAATTAAGGTATTGGGGGAGCTTAAAAGTATTTTCAATCTACTTTACCACTTCATATTGAGCGCTCTTAAATAGAATCTGATAATTATTTCAGATTTTATTTTGTTGTTATGGTGAGAATAGAAATTTCTGAGATCAGTTTTATTAGTTGATTTACAATAGACATTTAGTTTTAGCTCATTGTCAGTACAGTGTAACATAATGTCTAGGAAAAGTAAAGTGGAATAAACAAAATAAGCTTGAAAGAGGAGTTTACTATCACCTGTAATAATTACCACAAGGAATACATAGGGGAAATTTAAATAAAAGATTATATGAACAAAAAATATTAGTTGCTCACAGTAATGAGTGATCATAATTTAGATTTAAAAAATGCTACTTTAAGAGAAAGCAATTTACTGAGATGAAAGTGTATAGAAATTGCTTTAGTCGCTAGGTCATCCTTAGTATATTTGTGTCCAAGTTCTTACATTTCACTTTCTTGGCAGAACTTCTATTATCACAATGTGAGGTACTTGATAACAAAAGTGATAAAACCATTTAGAAAAAGTAATTAATTTAACTAGATTATATACCCAAACACAAAAACTTGCAATTACATCAACATAAACACTGCTTTAGTTCAATGAGATTCTTTTTTCCACTTTGTCATTAATTTTCCCAACATTATGCTGGTATATAAAAATTTATATATATCATTTTCTCCCACATTGAAAATAATAAATGAGTGTCTTAAAGCCTATGAAATTAGATCATAAAATTCCTCAAAGAATTGATCAATTTACAATTTTTTCAAAGGCTCTAAAATACAAGAATAGATGTACTTCTGTATGCATAACAAAAGTTATGAATTTAAAAATGAAATTGGGTAAAGATGAACCTACACTTTTATTATTATTATTGTTGTTGTTGTTGTTGTTACTTTTATTATTATTATTGTTGTTGTTACTTTTATTGTTGTTGTTGTTGATGATGATGTTGTTGTTATTAGAGAAACAATGAAGAGGAAATAACTGCAGTGTCCTTTTATCACTTCCACCTTTCTTTCAGGAATAATTAGAATTTTACGTAACGCAATAGGAAAAAAATAGTGGCCAAATATACCTTGAGTACAAATTACCCAATTAATATTTATACACAATTTGTATATAAATAAAAATGATCACAGATTGTAATTTTTTATGATACAGAAGAAATTTGTCAGAGACAAATTTTGTTTTTAAAAAAATTTCCTTAGTATCTTCGCATCTGCTTTTTAAATCGTTCATAATGGAAATCATCAGTGGCCTTCTCTTCTGGTTCAACAGCTGCTCTGTGGGCTGTGAAATAAATAGTAAAAAAAAATTTAACGTTTCATTAATAGTAAAATAAAATGAAGGAACAAAACAGCATCTTTAATAATATCTTTTCATTGCAATCACTTACACAACCAATCTTACTATTTATTAATGGTTATAGCCTGATAATAATTACAATGAAATTTAATTAAATTTAATAAAAAAATATATTAATGAGCTTATTTTCATTGAATGGTTTTTAAATGTAGGCCGTCACAAAAATACTTAAGTATTTACTTGAATAAAAGCCTATTTTTATTATTATAAAGAGAACCATCTAGAGTTTCATAAATAATGAAAGATGAATTTATGCTATAAAATAAATACTTACAGGCTTTCTCAGTATCTTTGCCTATTTTCTCTGCATCTCCAACTCTCAGTAGTTTTGGTTTCAAGGCTGATTGATCATCTTTAAGCCTGGGTCCATTCTCTTCAATTGTGACTTAAAGTAAATAGGACAAATATTTGTATACTAGTTCACCAATCCAAAAAATAAAGATTGAATGTATTACATCCCCAATATCAGATATCTGTATAAACCAAGATTTTAGAAGATTGCATTGAACCAATCTTCCTCAAAACTTTATATGAGATTAAACTAAGCTAAGTAAAAGCTATAAAATTTAAGGTTTGTTAATATTCATGAAGATGATTGCAACGTTTTATGAAACTGCAGCTCATTACAAAATCAAAAGAAAAATAAAGAAAAAATTAAATTTTAATAAATCTTCTAGAAAAAATCAATTCTAAGAAAAATGTATTTTTTTTAATCTCAATTTCTGATTATTAAAATAGAAACATTTATATTTGCTTGTTTACTCAAATTTGGGAACTACTGTTCTAGACAGTCACATAGTACAGAAACTTGTAAGGATATTATTGTTACAAATAATAATAATAATGAAAATTATAAAATAAAACAATAATATTTAAACCTTGTCTAAAATAAATTACTCCTAGCATGCAATGAAAACTATTCTTGCTAGAAATACAGACATCTCACCAAATGACATGAGATTCAATCACTCTTTGCCCTCTTAGGATGACAACATGTGTGTAACTTCCTTCTGTGATATTGTGGAGTAACTTACTCCCTTTTATAATATTGTAACATAAAATACACACACACAAATACATAAATAAAATTGTATGAAATTACCATACAATTTGTCTTGCCTTTTCTGTATTGTGTACTTTTATTCTTTCTGTTTTTAACTTCGTAAAAACAAACCTAAAATTCTCCTACCACTACTCCTATGCTATGAGTGAATACCATCACAAACTCACCAAAATCAGCACATTGTAAGGGAAACAGTGGCAAAGGGTACAAGTCAGAGTAAATGTGTTTCCAAGAATGTTAACACAAACCATTGACAACTGTTTACTTACAACTGGACTACAAGTAAGTCTGCCTCAAAACACATTTTCACTTACACCGTAACATTATCATGCATGTTTCCAGGGCATCACAAGAGGATCATCTCAAATTGCACTGTCTTGTGTTTAACAATGAGAGCAGGTTCTGCCTTCATACAAGTCATTTGCATGTGTGTGACAGATCTAGATAGTGACATCTCCCAGAATATTTACTCCCAATACACTGGTCCAATCCCTGACAACATGGTGTAGGGTGTCAAACTACAACTGTCACTCTCCTTTGGCGTTTGTGGACAGAATGTTAAACAGGACCAGGTACATCTATAATATTGTTCAATTCTACTGTCATCTCTGCAACAGGAAAGCAATGTAATCTTCCAGTAGTATAATACCTGTGCTACTTAACAACTTCCTGGTTAGCACACTTGCTAAACCTAGTTCACATTAAACATTATGCAGCAACCCCTATTTCATTTAGCTAGTTCACCTACAATTCTTGCTACATTCTAAATCTATTGCAGGATGGTATACACAATCTGTACAATTGAATTGCATAAATGGTACATACCATCCTCCAAAATTAGAGTATATCAGCAGTACTCAAACCCCATATTAATACACTGTATATTAGTTTTAATCTCCATTTCTATTAATGTCTTTGTTTTTATTGCTTTGAAACTTGCTTGGTTTCTGAAACAGTTTATTTTCTAATGGAAGTAATTTATTGAAATTCAAGCAAAAACTTAAATAGTGAGTACAGATTCTCAAGGCAATTGTAATACAATTATAGTTCTTCCAATTTAGCTAACCATAGCAAATCACTAAATACAGACAATTACAACTAACTCATGAGAAGTTTCATTTCTTACCAACAAGAGTTCAATCCTAAAATATAAGAATCTCAAGACAGAAATGAATATGACATTGTTAAAAGACCTCCCAAAAAAACCAACAACACCCAAGATCAAAGCAGCAATTAGAAAGAGACTTACAGCGATTATGCTGTACAAAGTTGACAGCCATATTTGTAGGGACAAATTCTGAAACTTCACTGTCTTTCTTCTTTCTCATCTCTTGTATCAGTTTCTGTTTCGCATCCTCTGTGTGTTCAATATTCCTGATCTTGGCTCTGCAGTTGAAAAGAAAAAACATCAAATGATAAATATGGAACTATTTAGAACTTTACTTGATGCAAATAGGACCTGAACAGCAACAAAAGCTAGGAATAAAACAGTTAATTTTTTTTTTAAATATCTCATTGATGAGAACAGTATATAATATTGGCAACATATTTGCTATTTATATTTCCCATATAAAATAGAAGACTTGTTTCTTTTCACATTTGCATATTTGGAAAATAATTATGAGAAATAAATATTGTAAAATGACAGAAACCATGTCTACAAATTAAAAGTTTGCTCCCAATTAAACCAATGAAACTTCTTGTGGTTGCATGCAATTCAAAAACTTTCAATTGAAATTATATAATAATATTAGATAATATAATCTCATGGTTAATATAGATGGCAGGTAACTATCATATATAACAATCAACAGTTACTTTTTCCTGCTTGTTTCTCTGCACAAGATACATTCATTGTCAGATAACTGTTAGCAACAAGGTCTTGAGATAATCTGTTTTTAATGGTAATACAGACTGTTTGACAGTAGTCAAACAAAATTAGTGCAGTATTAGTGTTGTAGCATACCTATGGATGATAATGGGTATGTCTCCATTCACATAAATATAGTAGTAAATACTGTATGTTGGTCTGCAGTTGGAGATTCATCTCCAGCTGTGCTGGTCAAACTCTCTGCCTCTGGGCAGAGAGGATCCCATGACAAGGTTATGTCAAAGAGCAGAGTCTTGTCTTGGGAAACAGCTACCCGAACCCGTTTTATACAGAATCTACGGGGAATTTTTGGCTGAGCCTATGCCTTGTGCCACATCTGACCACATGGGACATTTGGTAGATATCCTGCAGTTGGAGATTGATTGTGAAATTCACTTGACTCACTTCTAACAGTTGACTACTACTTCTACACTCCACTGGTGAATCTTATATATGGTGTTCTTGTCCAAAGTATTATCTTTCATTACCAACCTTCATTTGATTATTCTATTCAGTAACCCCCCCTAAGTTACATCAATTAGCATAACATATGTCTGAATCTTTCTAGTAGTAACACAATTATATGAAGTATTTACAAAACCATCCAAATTATCAAAGAAGAAAAGAAAACTTACTCTATTCCCAAATCTACTTCAGGAATTCCAGACAACATCTGGTTGGACAACATATCTTCACTCTTCTTGGTTGAGGATTCGACCTTAAGATTATCAGGAAGTTGATAGAGAGCATCTTCAGCAGGAACATTTCTAAAAGAATTCAAAACAAGAAAAAGAAAAATTTTATATTCAGATTTTAAGCAAATAATGTAAAAGAGGTCATGCTGCAACATTTTTAATTAACTTCAAATCTGTTTTCAAATCAAGTCATTTTTTTTTTAATAATTTTGTTGTTACAACAGAATATGTAGTACAGTACATCACAATTGAATTCTTACGTAACTGTACAAAAGAAAATATTTTGAATTTTTTTTTTTTAGATGAAACATTATCAATTGTTAACAAATATTTCTTTCTTCTTGCAACCACTTGATTGTCATGAGCATTATTAGAAAGTAGTAAAGAGTGGAGATAACAAACTATCCTCCAATAAGGCTTCGTAAGGCAGCTGTTGCATTCAAACATTCTCCAGTAGATACAGGATGTGAGTTAAAAAAAAAATTAAAGCAAGATTGTATCTATTTTAAAAGGAGAAAATGGTTTTAGTTATTTAGCAATAAAGTCACTTTTACCATTATAATACTGTTGACAAAAACCAAACTTACTTCTCCTGTGCTCGAAACGTATGATGTCCCTTCTTTTTGGCAAGTTCTTCTTCAACATATTTTAACCTGAAAATCAAGATGTTAGAAGCAACTGTTATAGTGAACATTGTGTTTCATGAACAATTTGCTGATTTTAAGTTAAAATCAAATAGTTAAATGAAAAAATATTAATAAATCGTCAATGTTTACTCAATCTTTCAAGAAATAAATGTTATCATTATAATAAAAACTGTACAAAATAATAGTCTAATAAACTGAAGTTCAATTTACCAACATTTAAAGAGAAAAACATTATGGATCTTTCCAAGTAAACATAACAGACATTTGTTAGCGTCAAAAATAGAGAGGCAGTTGTAATAAATAACAAGAAAGAAAAGATAAAAAGTTACATTTCAGCATCTTCATCTCGAATGTTCGTTTCAGCAGCAAAAGCTGTACCAATGGATTCTATATCTTCTCCTTGTAATGACCTAAAACATATACACAAAAATAAAAAAAACAAAAATTAGCTTTCACATAAAAGATTGATAAATCACTTTTGAAGAATAAAATAAAAATACTCCCGCAAAAAATAAAAGCATGACATATTTAGCAACCAAGTAGGAAAATTTATTATTTGTATAATTTGATATTTATTTAATTAGATTCAGGTATTAAAGTTTTTAGTTAAAGCAAAAAGAACTCACAAGATTGATGACGTTAAATAATATTTTTAGACTATTTTTTTTTAGTGGCAGTGTATTTGGCTCAGACCTTCTGAGGCTGACCTTGGGGTCAGCTGGTAGACAAAATAGGGATGTCGCTTTTGATTGGCTGAGCCAAACATGGGAATGTTAGAGTTAGATAGTGTTTTCAAGGAGTTAAGTTTTACATGTGAAAGAATGCAGACATGTTATTTTCGTGTATGAAAACTGCTCCTCAGTGGGGTGGGATAGTCACCCCACTGGCTAGTTAGAAGATGTACATGTCAATGTGTTCAATAAAATAGATAAGTTAAAAATCCCTTTTGTTGAAGTTCTCATTTTACCTCTGAACGAAAAACTAACGATCACCCAACTGAGAGAAGAAAGAGAAGACAACTTTATTATGATCATCTAAAGACCACATCAACCAAAAGGCATCCCCAGAACAAAGAGTAGTATTCAACATTTTGCTTATTTGATGCAGTGATCAGGAACCCCTAGCATGGGGGGATGCAGAATGAGGGTTGCGACACATGAAAAAGTTTGAAAAAGGTTTTCAATGGAGGACTCGGAAAAAGGGAATAAGAAAAAAAAGTAGTCTAGATATACTGAACAGTTTGTAAGTACAATATTACTTTGTTCTACTGCCACACACAGTGACAAACCAAAATAGGAAGCAATGATGAAAAAATGAGGAAAAAGAAACATTGATGGCATTTTTGAGGGACAAACAATAGAAAAAATAAGAACAAGCAAGAAAAAGAAAGAAGGAAATGACAATAAGCACCCACACTCACATACTGATATGACAATGTCAATTTTCATAAAACATTTTAGTAAGAGACTGATTTTGTTCGTCTTTTTACAAAAGGTTAGACCATGTGTGGAAATCTATTGTTGTTTTTTTTTTGATTGGCATGCTTTAAAAGTCATGTTTGGCATGATTTCCTGTTGTATATGCTGCAGCTGTAATTTTTATTTTGTTGTGGAAAAAATCAGGCCACGAAAGTTTCACGGTTAAGAAATATTTTTTTTCTTTTTCTTGAAGAAGTAAATTTTATCAATTACGGTGATTGGCCACATGGAAGCCTGAATTTGCATACATGAACACAATGGAAAATTTTTTTGAGGAAAAGAAAGACTGACGGCATTTTGCAATGGGGCATTCACACTGTGATTTCTACGGACTGTTAATGAGTTGAAAGTTTTGTGACTATAGTTTTGTGTGCATTCAAATGTTTCAAGTTTAGAATTATTTTGTTAATTGTAATTAACTGAAAAATGATTGTTTTTTTTTCATTTTTGTAACAGAGTGTGGAATGTTTTATTTTTTATTTTAAGAGCCATGTGTGTCCTTTTGCCTTCATTGGTTGAAGAATTAAATCATTAATTGGTGAATTTTGAGAATTCATTTTTTGTCGAAAAAGTAAGTTAGCTAATTGGTGTGGGAATAAGTAGATTAAGCTTGAATGTGCACCATGAAGTATTTATATCAAATAAATATACCCTAAGATACCCCTGGGGCCAAGTTTTGGAGTCTCCGATGACCTAGTGGAATTGATCAGGTGGCTTGTGGGATGCCAAATTGCAATAGTGGCTAATGGATGAAGGACTCTTGTAACCATGGTAGAGTCAGCAATGGATTAGTTAGGAGATGCTGAGCAGGTGTGTTTCCCCAGGATTGCAGAGGTGGTAGCTGTTGACTTAGGTGGAGGCCAAATTTCACTGTTGGAGTGACTTGTATCCAGACTAGTGTCTGAGATATTGACTTTGGGTCAGGGAGGCTTGTGACCAAGAATGGACAAAGGATTGTACAGAATTGTTTTTTGTTTTAAAAATATTTGTGAAATGTGAAAAAAACTGGTCAAAACTTTGTTGTTTATGTTAATTCATTTTTAAGAATTGTTTATGTGCATGCTGGAGTGGTCATGTGACCAAGTCCTAATGAAAAAAACTGTAAGGAGCATGCCCTGCATACATGAAATTATAGGAGGTATTTTAGAGTAAAGATTTGAAATAAAACTCATAAATTAATCTTTTTTGAGGTTGGGTAAGGAGTGTTAAATATAATGTAATTGAAATAAAATTCATAATTGAATTTTTTTATGGTTAGGTAAAGAATGTTAAATAATAGTTTTAGACTATTATTTTTTAGTGGTAGTATATTTGGCTTAGACCGTCTGAGGCTGAACTTGGAGTTAGCTGGTAGACAAAATAGGGATGTCGATTCTGACTAGCTGAGCTGAATGTGGAAATTTTTTTTTTTTTTAAGCGTTTCACCCCAAGCAAGGTGGGAAGCCACTAGGATGCAAGGGGTTACAGAAAATTTGGAGCAAGGTCAGATAGGAGTGATAGAGGAAAGGAGAAGGATAGTGGATAGATCAGGGCAACTGGAAATGTTGATGTTAGAGTTAGAAAGTGTTTTCAAAGAGCTAAGTTTTACGCATCAAAGAATGCAGATGTGTTAATTTTGTGTGCAGAAACTGTTCCCCACTGGCTAGTTAAAAATGTACACATCAACGTGTTTAATAAGGTAGTAAGTCAAAATCCCTTTTGTTGAAGTTCTGATTTTACCTCCAAACCAACCAACTAGCAATCACACACATATATATATATATATATATATATAAACACACACACACATATACACAGGTGTAACATCAATATTGTCCAAATCCTGTAACAGCAAAATTGTCCAATTGTTAGATTAAGCTTTGAAGCGTTGTATCTAAGAAATGATTAAAGATACTTTACTGGAATTTTCAAAGGTTCTTATAACACTATTGGACTCGGCATTGAACAATAAGAATGTATAATTACTCTCAAAGCTTATATATATTTTACATACAAAGAAATAATCATGCATAGAATCAATCAGCAATATTAATACTATTATTGGCGATATTACATCACTAGTAGAATATAATGTATGCATTAAAATTCTGTTAATCCATAGAATGATGTGATCCTCATTTATAAAACTGTTGTCGGTTGTTTCCAGTTTATATTTTTTTTAAAATGCTAGTACTTTCAAATAATCCTTTATTCATCCTCAGGCATATTTTTTTTCCTTTTAAAATTAAAACTTGGAGATGAAGTAATTGTTTGTAGACCAAAAGATGTTTTTTTGAGAATGTGCTATTATTGACAGTTGTGTACAATATCGAAACATGCAAAGTCGCACCGCTAAGTTTTTCAAAATTTTAAGTGAGAATTTTTTATTTGAACATTTTGTGATGTGGTAAATCCACATATTCTATTTTTACAAGTGTTTTCAGTTAATATGTCATGAACTAAGTATATAGTTCAATTAATATAGTGTTATGTCTTAGTAGTTTTTTTAGGAATTTTTTTGTACTGCGGATCGATAGTTTTTTATAAACATAAAACATTAGGCAGCATATATTTTACATACAAAGAAATAATCACGCATAGAATCAATCAGCAATATTAATGCTATTATTGGCGATATCACATCGCTAGTAGAATATAATGTATGTATTAAAATACTGTTAATCCATAGAATGATGTGATCCTCATTTATAAAACTGTTGTCGGTTGTTTCCAGCATTAATATTGTTGATGCTGTTTTCTCTCTACTGTTCCCTCTTTTTTAAACTTATTCACCATTCTCTGGATGGTTCTTGAAAGGATTTGAAGATAGAAGCCAGAGTATGAATGTTGGTACCATTACTAAAGGCCTGAATGATCTTTTTCCTCTCTGCATTGCTCAGTTAGAAAGACAGTAGGCCTGACACAAAACGATTTTAGCTTGTTCTCTTTCTAGCTGAATACCCCAAAGGGTTCTTCAGTAATTCTTAAGATACATAATGTCAAGATGGCTAAAAGTCATATATGAAAACCTGGTAAAAATTAGATTAGTGGTTTTTTAGATATTAAACATTTTGTGGGATAGATAATTATACTCTTACACGATTTGGACAATTTTGCTATGACACCCAGTATATACATACATACACACACACACACATATATATATATATATATATAATGGACTCTCCTATCGTGAAGGATAAATGAGGGTCAGCAGTGGATGGTGCCTTTTGCTTTACACATGCATGTTAGCAGAGGCTACTGTGGAAAAAATCAGGTAAGAGAAAGACATATTTCATTTGTGCTTTCTTAACTGTAATACTAGCTCAGCCTTGCTGTGGGCGACAAAGCCACACTGATAGATGGAATTTGTTGAAGCAGGATTTTGATGGTGTCTCTGCTTCAGAACTTGATGAAGCTGATCATAGTGCTTCAGTTTACTGTCTTTAAAACCCTTTAACTTAATGAAACATGACTTACACCACTCCTTTTGGTTTGATGCTTGGACTTCCCAGGTTTTCAGATCAAAGTTGAGACATTTCAAGTTGTCTTTCAATTTGTCTTTGTAGCATAAGAGTGGACGTCCAACTGAACACTTGGAGTTTGGTAGTTGTCCAAACAGCACCTTTTTTGGAAGCCTATGTTCATACATTCTCACAACATGACCAGCCCACCTAAGTTGTATCTTTGGTAGAATGGCAAAAGCAGATTGCGTACCAGCTGCAGAAAAGTTTCGATTGTGCTTTAAAATGTTGCTGATTGTATAAACCTCCACTTGTTCTGAATTCAACATTGACTCTTTCACTTAGATCAGAGAATGCTTTTCAAGCATAGCAAAAAAGAAAAGTGCAAAGAGAAGAGGAGCAAGAATGCAACCTTGCTTTGTACCATTAGAAACGGAAAAGGCTTCCGATTACTCACTTCCCAACCTTACAAAAGCTTTCATTCCTTCATGAAAGGATATAATAATATGGAGCATTTTTTCTGGAACACCTAATTTTGACAAAACTTTCCAAAGAGCAAAGATACAGTATCGAAAGCCTTTGTAAAGTCTACAAAAACAACAAATAGATAAGATTATTCTTTATTTCTGATCTACATTTACTCACAATTGTAGAATGGTACCTTGAGTATTTGCAACAAAAAAAACTTAAAATTAAAGAATTACTAGTAAAAAAATACATGCAGCATTTAGTGTGTGAAATATTAAAAGAAAACTGATTAACAGAAGAATGTTGAGAAATTAATGAACAAAGGTGAATTTCCAAGTGTTTTATGAATTCCATTTCTATTGAAATTTTACTTTCTGTGTATAATTAGGCTTACAATAAACAAAGAGTATATCAATTTACTAGCCTTTGAATAAATTCATCAAAAGATAATTCTAATATTTGTTATACAAAGCAACTCTATGTTTCAATTTTATCTACAGCTGAAATACAGTTTAAAGAACAATTACAGATGGGACTTAGAAAGCTTACACCAAAACAGCTACAATTATCTATATATTAATTAATGTGAATTGTTATAAAGGGTATTTTATATTCAGTAAACACTTTATTAAATATACAAACAGAAAGCAGAACTTAATATAGAGGAAAAAATATTCATTTATTTTTTTATGATTTAATAATTAGAAAGGGATAATATAAATTTAGCTTTGACATGTGATGAAATTTTTTAGAAATATCTTCCTGGCCACGCTTTGAGGAGCTATGCTATTCTCCAGTAGTTATGCTAAAGTTATATATGAGCTATACCTATTTCTAGATCCTCACTCAGATTTTGGAAGTCAAACAGATAAAAAAAAAAGTTAATAATTTAGAAAAATATGATAACCATATTTAAAAAATAAAATGTTTTTGAAAATCAAATCAACAAATATTTAACTACTTACGTGCCACTTTTCAGGACTTTCATGTCAACCATTCCACCAGTTTTCATTTTGAAAGGATCATTCTAAATAAAACGGAAACATTAAATAAAGAGTTAATAAAAATAATGATCAGATGTTTGTTTTTCCATATGAACCTGACAACTTTGTTCTAAGGCAAATCAAGCAGCTAAATATGGCATAGATTTTCTTTGTTGTCAACAATAGGCAACACCTCTGAGTACAGCTCAAGATTCCAGGTTCAAATACTAGCAAGTTCTAGACTATAAAAAGGGCATTTTGTTGTTGTGTAATGCTCCAATAGCCATTAGAAGTGAGTTTGATCCTCACTAGATGCCCTGTACTATGCTTAGTAAATAACAACTCAGTTTTGTTTATTGACTTAGACTGCATTAAAAATTCTGACTATTTAGTGTTCAGAACTCTGAATATTCAGTATGCATTTTTTTATTTAAAATGTCTTAACTGAGTAGTAACATCAACTTCCATATTCATGTTCATAGAGAGATATCTGAGGAAAAGTAAGGTACAAACATCCCCAGACAAGACTATATCGAAGGACAGTCTTGTCTCAGGAAACAGCTACCCAACCCCATTTTATACAGTGTCTACTGGGAATTTTTGGCTGAGCCTACAGGCTCGGATACCCCACATTAAATTTGGCCTTGTGCCACATCTGACCGCGTGGGACGGTTGGTAGATATCCTGCATTTGGAGATTCATTGTAAAATTCACTTGACTCACTTCTAGCAGTTGACTGCTACTTCTATACACCACTGGCAAGTCTTATATGTGTTGTACTTGTCCTAAGTATTATCATTCATTACCAACCTTTGTGTGATTATTCTATTCAGTAACCTTCCCTAGGTTACAACAGTTACCAGCAGTAATATATTATTTTGTTCCATAGCTGCTATTGTGATTGATGCACTTGTCTGATCAGTGCATGAATACATAAATATTTTCATCAAAGAACATGAAATTTATCCACTGCAGCCACTCTATCACTTCTGAAACATCTGGGAAGTGAAACTACTTCACAGATAAATGTCATTTCAGAGGCTCAAATCTGAAAGAGCTAAGTCAGGGCTATATGATGAATGTAGTAAAACATCCCAACCATATTGCTGAAGACACCCTTTTGTCAGATTAGCTATGGTCTTCATCACTTTTGACAAAGTGTTTCAAAGTATCTGACCATACTGTGTTAAATATTTGACTATGTAGTATAAAGTCCACAAAAAGCAGCACATCTTTTGCATCCCAGAACACAATTGCTATCAATTTCTTTTCTGACAACTGAACTTACTTTTTTTTAGGGCATTTGAGAATTGCTTTCAAGTCATGGAATCAATAGCAGCTATTTCAGATTAAAATTCACTTTGGTACTTTTTTATAATTATTCCATTATGAATTATAAGGTTAATATGAAAACTTACATATTTGGTTATTTTTTTTTTTTTATTTGTTTCCAAGTTTGTAGAAATTCTCATCAAATATACAAACAGAAGACAGAATTTAATATAAAGAAAAAAATATATATTTATTTTTCATGTTTTAATAATTAGAAGGGAATAATATAAATTTAGATTTGACATCTGATGAAATTTTATAGAAATATATTTAAAAAATATTAACATTATTTCTAATGGTCCACAACATTCAATTTATCTTTCAAGTTTCAAATATTGGATAAAGTTTCAAGTTTGTATTTTGGCTATTTTTTTTCTTTAATCAGTACTTACAGCTTCAACTTCTTCTTTCTTTGTTTTCTTACCAAAGGCTAAACTGACTGCATTAACACCTTTTGGTTTCTCTCGAAGTTTTTGTAAGTTTTTTATGTCATCAACTGAATATCTAGAAAACAGAGATTAATATTATGTTCATATTTTTTTAAAGTCAAGTCTGTACATAAAATTAATAACTTAAATATAAGAAAGCAACAATAAAATTATACTGGTACTAATATATTTCACAGTTACTCACCAATGACCAACTAAATAAGGCAAGTTTAAATTAACTGAGTTTTCCTATTAGTGAATATAATTAAGAAATTATTTTCCACAGTTGAAATTCACTTGGAGGGTTGATTCTGAAAGTAATGCTCATCTTTTTTATTATATTAGCCCCCTGACATCAAATACAAAACCTTCCTATTAATAAATATTTTTTACCTTGCTATAGATAACAATTGAGTATCAGTCTGGCAAAATGGTGTTTGACATTGAAGCGAATACAAAGCAGAGGTATGCCATGGAGTTATTTCATATGGAGAAAAATTGCACCCACTGACATTCATTAACATTTGCTGAATATTTACAAAGACCAAACAGTGAATGTGAGCACAGGTAATGGGTAATTGATTTGAAACAGCTGAGGTAAAAAATTCCATCCTGAGTTTATGAACAAAACTAGAATGTTTGCCTCTCAACCTCCTGGAATTTAAAAAAAAAATATTTACTACAGGAGTATTCTAAGTTAAATCAAGGAGGAATTTCCAAATTTGAATACAAAACCTGGAGACAATTTGTACATGAAGAATAATGGTTTATCGGAGCTACTTTAATCTTAAAGAAAAACAATTGTTAGTGTGCTACAAGAGGCTGTAAACTTAATATTAAAATTGACTGTGTAGAGATGCAGGTTAAATGATCAGTATCTGATTCCCTATGCTATCCTCTACCTTTATAAGAGCCAGATCAGGTTGAAAAAGGTGTACTGTTGTCATATTTGAGCAGGAGCTGCCCAGTCCTCCTTTCCAGTCTTGATAGAGTTTAAAAGCATCACCAAGCCCTTATTAGAGAATAATTATTTTCCACCCTCTAACCTTTCTCTCACAGGCATGATGTGACAAGCCTCTCACTGCTCTAGTATTACTTCCATGGATAGTGTTCAGACTACATTCCTTGGTTCTACCAGGTCTAACCATCACACACCATGCCACTTACATTGTAGCAAATCACCCCCATACTCCCTCTGTATTCCATTGGTGAGAAGTAAGTTCCATTCAAACAGCTTCTTCCTATGAACAACTGCTCTATGGAACTGACTTCCAAGAGGATGTTTCCCTGATCACTACAGTCTTAACCTGTTCAAGTCTAGAGTTAACTGCTATTTTCCCCTCCTATCCATATAAACTACCCCTTGATGTAACCCTCTACCCTGAGTGGCTCCTGGGCCTTGTACAAGAAAAAAAAAAAACAAAAAAACAAGAAAATATATAAATTTAACATTGACAAACCAATTTTATAATAACTCTTTATCTAATGAAAGTATTCCAGGTTTCATTGTGCAATGTAAAATAGTTTATAGGTGCAGAGTGGATAAACTCATAAGCCAAAATTTAGACTAAATTTCTTTGTACTGAAAAATCATTTCTCAAAAAGAATATTAGCTATGCAGGTTATTTTATTTAATTATTTGAATAATTTCATTTTTAGATACACTAATTTTGCAACAATATTTTTAAGAAAATATTTTAATTTTGCAGTTAATTCTCATATTGCAGGTTATTTTTTTCTTTTGGTTAAAAAAAATGGTACAAAAATGATTAATGCATTGATTAATCAATGCAGATGATTTAAAGAATAAAGTCCTTTCGATAAAAGCCATTTTACATGTGCAGAGGCAATGCTTCTCATATTTATAAATCAATGCCTGCCCCACTGTAAGTAATTTTAAGAGTTGTTTTGGAGTTTAACAACTCAATGTTGAGTTCGTTTTTTTGCAAGATACACACTTTTGGCTATATTTTTCTATTTTCTTCAGGCTCAAATTTTCTTTTTCCATATCAAATATGCTTGCATTAGATAAAGAAAAAGAAAATTTGAGTCTGGGATATTCACCAATCCCAAATTCATGCTAATGCATATTATCAATTAAAAAATATCAATAATAAATTTATTAGTCATATATAATAATGAACATTTTTTCCCTTTTCCCTATAACTTTTGCTGAAGCATAAAAATTATGAATACATTCTGCCCTGATTTAAACATCTTACCTGGAGATAAACAGGTGTGTGATAGATCTACTATTTCAGTATTCTTCTGCTTGAAAAGCATATTAAAATAAACTTAATTAAATAAAAATTTAGTTAGACTACACAGATACTACTCTGATTCTTTACACTAGTTACATTGTTTAGACTGTTGTCCTCATCTCTGTTGCCATATTCACAATGTTTCAGCTGTTGTATGCTCCAGACCTTCTTTAGGCGATTGGAATTTCAAACTGAACCCTTTATTTCGTCCACCTGTGTAGATTATTCTAGTTCCACGTGCAATGCCTCTTCTAGATGTTTCAGTATCAGTTATCGTCCTTTAACTCAACTATCCAAGTTTTGGAGCCAGGTAATTAACTCACCTGGATAAAAGCATTGGTGGAATCCAGTGGCTTGACCCAAAGGATTGTGAGTTCAATACCTGACTACAGCTGAGGTGAACCAAAACTTGGAGAGTTGAGTTAAAGGGAGATAACTGACAGAGATAGACATCCAGAAGAGACATGGCATGTGGAACTAGAACAATGTACCTCGGTTTCAGTTCGAAATTCCAATCACCTGAAAAAGGCTGGAGCATGTAACATCCAAAATGTTGGGAAGTTCTTTTTTATATATATAAGCCACATATATAGAAGTAAGAATACTGAAAAAAAGAACTTCGGAAATTGACTGAGATTTGCTGTCACAAATTCCCAGCAGTGACTCACATAAGTAACTCTGGATACAAAGATACTGATGTTTGTTAATGTCCTTTGGGAAGCGTAAGAGGGGAAAAACTCAGTCACATTCGTTTATCTATTGGAGGTAAAATTTATATGACTTCGCTTTCATTTATTAGAATTATTCTTATGTATTTTTACAGAATACGCAAAACGAACTGTAAGTCCCGTCTTCAGGAAAGAAAAAAAAATCAGCGCCTGAGTGACACTTTATTTTGTAACATTGTGTAAAGATTTTAAGAAGTTGCAAAAAGAATGTCAAAGTTATTTCCCTTCGCCTTAAAATATGTATGGCCTGTTGTGAATTGACATAAAGCGTTATATTTGGAAAAAATTATATTGTCAAAAAAAATAGAAGAAATGATTAAGTTTCAGAATAGGTTTGGTCACAAATTAAAATCTCTGTTGTCTTCACGGTTAAAGTAAGTATCTGAACTGAATTTCAACATGACATTTTTTTCACTTTCGGATCCCCAAATCGATTATTTAAAAAAAAAAGGTATATTTTGAAAATTTATATAAAATATAAATATGTAAATATATATATAAATTAATAAAATGTATATAACTATTCTTTTAAAAGGTTTAAAATTCGCTAATAATTAAACAATCGACATGTGATAAAAAGACAAAGACTCTATTTTTGTTTTGTGCATTATTCGCATCAAATCCTCATCAAAGTTTTTCGTAATCCTGAAAAATATCAAATTTAAATGGGAAGGAAATTTTATTTTTTTAAATTAATTTAAAACCGTTAACTAACTACAAATATGGTTAAAGGGCCTTAACTTAAGGCTAAACCTCAGTAAAAAGCAAGCTAAAAATAATATTTTAAAAAATTTGTTCACACAAAAATAAAACTCCATTTCTCTTTCTCTGCCGATGAGCTCATGTAAGAAGAACAAGTAACCATTATTTCATACATTGGAAATTTTTTTATGAAATTTATTTACGTGATTCCCGTTGTTTCAGTGTTTGCCTCTTCATTCTCACTATCACTTTCGGAAGATGAAGAACAACGTCGTTTACGAAAATTTCGCCTTTCTTTTAACGACGCCATGACAGCAGTTGATGTACGATGTTTTTCTTTTACCTCTTTAAAAAAAAGAGTGACTTCCGGTAGGAAGTTTTGCAGACGAACTTTTAATATGGCTGCCAAATCAGTTCTATGTCGGTTCTCTTCACCTAAGAGGGCTATTTTTCAGGTAAGTTGATTTTAAAAATATTTATTCTAAAGATTTCTACAAGTATTACAGAATATATTTGACAAAACAATATTAATTTTATACTATTATATTAACTTATTTCATGACACTAACAGTTTATAAACATCTAAAAAATAAGTAAAAAAATTAAAAATCGGTCATCTAACTATAAGTAACAAACTTTTCCTATTTTTTTTTTTTGACACTGAAGATTGAATTCTCTTTTGCGAGTTTCTTTTTTTTTTTTTGATGATTGAAAAATATAACTACATTATATATTTTAGAGAATACATAGTTTGTCAATAAGATCTAACTCTACAAGAACCATTTTTTTTTTTATTGAAGGGTGAAATGATTTACGTAACATTTTTGACCGACTACTACTCGAATCTGCTAAACAAAATAAAGTTTATTAAATGGTAATGTAAATATTTTCTAATTTTTGCAAGATAAATAATATAAAGACATTCTGATTTATGAAATTGTTAGTACATTTCCGACTTTCGTTGTTAATTTACCAACAAAGAACGGTAAAAAAATTGAATAAAAAATAAAATATTTTTTGCGTTTTAAGTTAACTTTTATGGTTATTCTTTCAAAAATTGTTTCTATTTTTTTTTTCTTTTGTATATGTTTTAAATTCATTTTTAATTTTAAGATAAATTGTTTAGTTTTATTAATTTTTTTTTTTTTACTTATCACTTTCAATATTTTCTCGGAGTTTTTTCTTTGTTCTGCATATTAGCAAATTCTTTTACTAAGGTCACTGGTGCCGCGGGGAAATAGATTATTTAATCAATTTTTACCACAAAAAGATGATTACTTAACTCATTATTACTTGTGTAATCTGACTAGCCATAAACTTCATCTTCTTGTTCTATTTTTCTGTCAGCGTTCTACTTTAAAATTAAATATTTATTAATTTTGTAACAAAGTTAATTAATAAATAACAAAATTTTTGTTAAACTGAAATTTTTAGATGAAACGTGTGTTACTGTTGTTAATTAAATTTTACTCGTATTTCAGTTTCTTATTTTTTTGTTTGTTTATTATCACGACTAACAAATTGTCATTCAGCCTTATGAATCGAAAATATAGAAAGAATGTATCCTCTCGTTGGAAACATTTCCGATCCATGCTGCTTAATAACGGTCGTAGAATGACGATAGCAACAGAACTTAAATATTAATAAAAAAGTTAATGTTTTACATATTGTTAATGTTAATAATTCATTTTTGTTGTAAGTTTCTTTCCATCTCTTTCAAAATAAAACTCTAAATCAGTCATGCTGCAAATATTTCTCAAACAAAAGTTTGTTGTTTTTTTTAACTATAATTTTATTTGTTAGATTTTATTTTGAAAAGAATACGTGTATTTCTTAGCTACCGACACGGACTTTAAAAAAAACAACAAAAATAACGCATTTTAAATAATTCAAATGTTTTCTTTGAAAGTAAATTTTGTTTTAAAAGATAAAGCCTAATTAAAAGCTAATCTCTATGAAAAGAAAAATAAATTTCCGTATGTAAACATTTTTTAGACATTTTTCCCGATCATTACAATCTTGACCTGTGGAAAAATGAAATAAAATCAGTAAATAATGAATAAAGAAAAAAGAAATACATTTTCCCATGATTTTATTATTTATTACTTGGCTTTGTCAAACTCCCATTAAGTGGCGCTGTTTAAGTCTTGTTACGAACTTGTAGCATATAGATGAACCACGGGTTCAAAAAAAAAAGGAAAACGTGGTTTCTTTTCTCGGTCTTCACTCAGAAATGGAAGCGACACAAGGGAATCAACGAAGAACAGACACAAGATGACGGATTTCAAAACAAAACATTTATTTATAAATATATATAACGGAGTAAAGAAAGAAAAAAAAGAACATTCATTTAACAAAGGGGGAGGGCATCATTAAAGAATAGAAGGCACGAGCGAATACATACATATATGAAAACAGATCAAGCCAAAAGAACCAACTTATCTTGCAGTCGGGTTGGTATCTTCACATAAAGTTTTGATTCGCCGAAGCGAGAGTTCTGATGATAAAACAGTATCTTGGCCGGCCAACAATGTTCCTGGATTCTTCTTCTTTTCACGAGTGTTCGTGGGTCCTCAGCATTTCATACAGGCATTTGGTTGTGTCGACCAGTCCATAGCAGTCCTTCCTTCACTCGTCAAAAGACTTTGTGGTCTTCCTCATCTCAGTGGGCGGTCTGACAATTTTTTGCCCAGCGACGTTCAACTGCCGCTGGTCAGAGGGAAACTGAAGAATCCTTTTTTGATTTTCGCTGTCCCCAACGATAGTCACGTGGGATCCCTTCGTCCTTGACCGGGTACGCAGGAGGATAGGGCGCAAATCACACAGCGCTTGTGTGATGGCCAAAAGTTCAACACATGCTCTGTACGTCCCGATCACGTGAATCGCAGCAGGAGACACTGATGGTGCCTGGAATTCACTCATGGTCAAACGCGAAATCTTGGAAGCAGGTCATTCTCGCGTCAGGTCACTTCGAAGTTCACGGGCCCTTGGCTCGTGGGTGGAAGAGAGGATAAGGAGAGAAAGAATTTGGGAAAAGAAAAGAAGGATATGGCTGATCATAGAATATATTCGCTCGCGAGTCGGAAGCATTGGACTAAATTTCTGTTTTTATTTATTTATTTATTTTTCTTTTATATCTAACTAGTTTTCTCTTTATTTAAGATTTTACTTTAGCCTAACGCCTATATGGTTAATGAAATCGTGGCTACGTGACACCTCCCTACCAAAAAAAAAAAATGCCATTAACGGCAGTTTTCTAAAAAAAAAGAAAAGTGATTGTTTTCGTCTCCTTCAGTTACTTATCCTCGGACCTCGGTGGACTCAGGTGCATGACTACGTCCACTGATCATTACTACAGGGTTGGTTTTTCCCCGTTCGTAATAGGGTTTGATTCTATTAACGTGGTACTTTCGCCTCTGTTTTCTATGGTCAGGAGTTTTCACGACAAATTTCAGATTTCTGGTCCTTTCAAATGGATCATGAAACCGAGCCATGTTAGATGGACACATTAATCGTGTTCGAAACGGGAAACATAATCTAAAAGACTCTCAAGCTAGATCTTCCTGTAACCAGTCCTTTTTTCAATACATGTAATGGACCCGGACTGAATGTCCAAATATTAGTACAAAAGGCTAAAGTCCAGAGTCACTTGAGTAGACTCTAGGGTAGCGCACATTAAGAATGCGATACCCACGTCCCAATCATGTTGGTGGTACAGGCAATATGTTCGCATCATATTCTTAAGGGTGGAATGAAAACCTTCCAATGCTTCTTGGAATTGGGGATAGTAGGCATTGGACTGAAGGGACTGTATACTTAGAATTTTCATGAATAATTCTGACATGAAATTAGGCACCTTGTGTAAACCTATCATGGCAAAAAAACCAACAAGAGTTTTCGCTGGCTTTACTACTGCCTGACAAGCATGGCGAGTCCGACAGGATTCAGACATATCTGTCCGGATCCCCAGCCAATAAAAATGTGTGATGATCTTAACGTGTGTAATGTTAAGGTGACTCCCCAGTGGGATCTCATGAGCCGTTCTCATTACCTCCGGTCTGTACCGTTTAGGGAGTACTACTTGGTGGACTGTCGACCAGTCTTCTGAGGCGGAGATGTGCGGGGGTCTCCACTTCCTCATTAGTACCTCATTTTTAATAAAGTATCCAGTTGGAACTTTCTCCAACTCATCCTCGGGCAATACGTGACGGAAGAGTGGGGTGAGCTCAGAATCACTCCCCTGCTCTGTTATAAGTGTTCTCCTCGATAATGGAATGTCCATAGTGGGCTCAACAATACCATCGCTATTTCCAGTCGGGTTACTATCGGGAGGATAATTTAATCCCACATCAGGATTTATGAACGTCTGCGATAGGTCTATCACTTCATCTTCTGTCCTATCGATTATCTCGTTTGTCTTTTCATCGGCCTTCTTTCTGGCCTGTGCTCTGGTCACTGCACACGAGGGAAATATATCGAGATTCTCTTCCTCGATATCTTCGGTGTCTACCGAAGCAACCGGTTCTGGAACTACTTTGGGGTGGGGTATCACCCTACCACCCGCCAATTCGTTTCCTAACAGCATGGATATGCCTTTCATAGGCAGACTAGGAACTACTCCGACCTCGACAGGGCCAGAAACTAACCCAGACGTAAGGTGGATTCGATGAAGGGGGACGCTAACAAAGTTGCTGCTAACACCCTGTATGATAACAAATTCGCCAGTGGCCGAATCCGATCCACACGGCACGAAGCTCTCCACAATGAGGGACTGAGTCGCCCCAGTGTCCCGCAAGATCTTCACGGATTTCTTCTTCGTGGGGTTATCAACGGGGGATACAGCACCATTAGAAACAAATGGCCTATACTCCTCCCTCACATCTTCATCATTGGGTTTCCTATTCATTGGCTACGTGACAGTCTATAAAAAAAACAAAACTTTTCTCTTTTTATCCATCTTGCCCCAAAATGTAGTAGTACATAAAGGATATCCACCTGGGATGCGTTTATTTCCCCAGTCCACTGATGACTGAACTCTCTTTCCACTTTCCAATACAGAGTATTCGACATGTTTCACAGCTTCCAATGATGAAGTAATTTGGTCATTCCAACTCGGTGCAAGGCTAACTTGAGCTCAACCATTCTAACAATGCTTATTCTTACTGACACTAACTTCTGATCCAGAAAAAAAACGGACATACTCAAGAGACATTGAGAACTTCGTTTCACTACAGCTTATAAAAAAGAATAAACCGTCCATTGTAGAAACTCAAGTTTTTGTATGCTTCATCTTTAATTGTTTACATATGAACATGCACCCACCTGAAATAGATCCAACACACGCCCTTTAAATTCTATAGACCTCTTCAAGTCTTAGGTTTACAGTTATCCCTATCTAGGCTTTTTTAGTAAAAAAGGTAAAAGAAAATTCATGATCACTGGTCACTAATTGAAC